GTAAGTTATTAGGTATGGTGAATTCTGTGTAGTAGTATCCTGGTAATATGAAGATAATAAATTCCTTGTCATTCAGTCAGCTACAACGTAGGACCAGGCACATATATGCATCGGTCCAAGTTGCCATACCTCGTTAGCACAACAAGATCAACACCGAATTCATAGAAGTAATTAATTTAGTGGTGGTAGTAGTATATAAATTATAGGTTGTATATAAGGATATAGTATAGGAAGGAAGAGAGATATGAAGCAATTTTGATCTCAAGGTTTAAAGAAAGATAAAGAGTGTATACACCTACGTCATTGTGATCGATTCTGAGCCATATCACCTAGAGTCTCCAACCATTGGTTACGATAGTCACGAGGACCTCAACCAGGTAGTCTGCATCTGCCAACGTGGCTCAGGCTAGAAGTTAGTGAATTCAAGCACTGATGCCATGTTTTGGTTTGGCCGCCCCAAACTCTCTTCCAACCATCCTCAATACTAGTCATCATAGAGCGTCGTGGTAATCGGTGTTCATGCATATGTAACACGTGGTCCAACCATCTCAGTCGATGAAGATTCATGACCTCACTGTTCATGGATATAGAGGACTAGTTGTTCTCACCACTAACAATCCGAATTGTATGTAAATTTACTTAACATTGGTCGCTAAATGATCTACATGGTGTATATGCATTTCAGATTGGAAAATTACGAGAATTTATAGTCATGAATTAGTCTGGAGGGGAGTAAAAGAACAGACTATTAAATTTTTATAAACAACATGCTTATTTAAACGAATATTGAGACAAGTATAAAATCTCATAGTGCTGTCCGTAATTCTTTCAATATTCATCATAATTAACCAGTAAGTTATTAGGTATGGTGAATTCTGTGTAGTAGTATCCTGGTAATATGAAGATAATAAATTCCTTGTCATTCAGTCAGCTACAACGTAGGACCAGGCACATATATGCATCGGTCCAAGTTGCCATACCTCGTTAGCACAACAAGATCAACACCGAATTCATAGAAGTAATTAATTTAGTGGTGGTAGTAGTATATAAATTATAGGTTGTATATAAGGATATAGTATAGGAAGGAAGAGAGATATGAAGCAATTTTGATCTCAAGGTTTAAAGAAAGATAAAGAGTGTATACACCTACGTCATTGTGATCGATTCTGAGCCATATCACCTAGAGTCTCCAACCATTGGTTACGATAGTCACGAGGACCTCAACCAGGTAGTCTGCATCTGCCAACGTGGCTCAGGCTAGAAGTTAGTGAATTCAAGCACTGATGCCATGTTTTGGTTTGGCCGCCCCAAACTCTCTTCCAACCATCCTCAATACTAGTCATCATAGAGCGTCGTGGTAATCGGTGTTCATGCATATGTAACACGTGGTCCAACCATCTCAGTCGATGAAGATTCATGACCTCATCAAGCGATTTACCATCATTCTTTAATACCCTACGTCTAACCTCACTTTTACTTACCCGGTTATCCCAGCAGATGCAAGCAATATTTCCAAGGCATCTGTGGTCAAATACTAGTAAGCTACGAGTATCTTCTACTTTTAATGGCCATGTTTCACAGCCGTAAAGTAGAACAGAGCGAACTGCTGCGCGGTATACTCGTCCCTTAATTGATAGACGGATATCTCGTCTTCACCATAGGTGACGTAAGTTGGCAAAAGCCAAACGAGCTTTTTTAAATCCGTGATGAGATTTCGTCAGACACCAACCCATTAGGGCTGATCAGACTTCCAAGATGAGTGAAGTTGTCGACGCGTTCAACTATTTCACTCCCTATCCTTAGTTCAGGTGTTGACGCAGGCCAGTCCTGGAGTAACAATTTACATTTGGATGGGGAGAAACGTATCCCAAACATCCTGGTATTATTACTGAGTTCCAACAGAAGACTCTGCTTTTTGTCAGCGTCTTCACTAAACAGGACTATGTCATCTGCGTATTCTAATTCGCTTAGTGTTCCCCTGTTAGATCAATTCCTGAAAATTCAGTCGCATAGAGTGTTATTTCCAGCAACAGGTCTATAATGAAGTTAAACAAAAATGAGGATAGAGGACAACCTTGACGGACACCACTTGAGGTTGTAAAATCATATGACAGTTCGCCACTCGACTGGTAGTGTTCGAGTAAAGAGCCTTCGCAAGGTTTATGTACTTCTCAGGTACACCTTTCAATGACAGACACTGCCACAGAACCTCTCGTTCTAGAGTCAAATGCTGCTTTCAAGTCAAGAAAAACTATCATTGTCGGACGCCGCTAAGCGTGTCTGTGCTCTAAAACTTGACGAATGGTGAATATGTGGTCGATACAGCCACGACCAGGTCTGAAGCCAGCCTGATTTTCTCGTGTTTGCAGTTCACGAGTCTTAGTTAGGCGCCTGATAATTATTGAGGCTAGTATTTTAGATTCTGTGTTAGTCAGACTAATCCCTCTATGGTTATCACAGGATGATTTTGACCCCTTTTTGTATATTGGGACAATCAGTGATTGTGACCAGTCAGATGAGATTACATCCGTCTCCCAGATTTTAGCCAGAATATTAGTCAACCTAATCGCTAAAATTGGACCACCATATTTAAAGACCTCTGGAGCCAATCCATCTGGACCAGCTGCTCTTCCTCGTTTCAGACTACTTATAGCATTTTGAACTTCAAGTAGGGTCGGGGGACCTACTTCAATGTTCTATTCAGGTTTTCTGGGAATAGTGGGTAGTTGTGCAGTAGCTGAAGGCCAGCTAAACTGTTCCTTAAAGTGTTCCGCCCATCGTTCTAAACGTTTGGGTTGAGAGCAGATAGGGGTTCCGTCTTTTTCCGAGATTGTCTCACTTACACTTGACTTCTTAATTCCGGTTTCTTTTATCAGTCTGAATAGTTGCCTGGTGTTGCCTACAGCCGCTGCCTTTTCCATATCGTTTGCTTTCGTTGCTCACCACTGCTCGCGATCGTTCCTTAGACTTTTAGTTAACCTAGATCTAATTTCTTTACGTTCTTCGTCATGTTCAGAGCCTGATGGGATGAGTTTACGCGAATCCATCAGTGAAATAGACTTAGAAGAAATCCATTGGTTTTTTGGAGCCCTATGGTTTAAATGACTAATAGATGTTACTGTTGTTTCCACAGCTGTTCGTATGTCTTTCCAAGCAGCATCTTGGTCAGTCTCGTTTACAGAACTGCCTAGATGTGAACTCAGTTGTTTCTGGAATTCGCATTTGGCTTTCTCGTCCTCCAGTTCAATTATAATGGGTCTTCTTAGTGTACTTTTCCTGCGTCCATTGAGGCGCAGACAAATGCGCGCTCGTATTAAAGCGTGATTAAAGTCTAAACAAGTATTTCAATACGAGCGACAATCTTCTATTGAGCCTCTCCAACGATGACTGATGACAATATGGTCTATTTGAGTCCATCGTTGGTTTGGTGCAGGTGGTCGCCATGTTAGACGATGTCTCTCCTTATGCTTGAAATTAGTGCTTGCTAAAAATAAACGATTGTCTGAGGATAGTTGCAACAGACGATCACCATTATCGGTTCGTTGAGCCGGAATACTAAAACACCAACCTGAATGTCTTTCTGTTTGATTTAAGCTGCCTACCTAGGCATTAAAGTCACCCGCTACGACTACTATGTCTGAGCGCTTAGCTTTCTGAAGAAGCTCAGAGAGCTTTCTGTAAAAGTCATCTTTCACTTCATCATGGCTGCAGTCAGTGGGAGCGTAGGCAGAAACGACGAAAAGGCAACGACGTTTGTCCCTATCCTTCCGAGTTCTTACGGAGCCATTTAGCTGGACAGCACACATGCGACTGTCAACGGGGATCCATTCTAGTAGTGCCTGTTCTGCCCTTGTACTTAGTGCTATGCCTACACCTGCAAGTCCACGAGAACTAGCCAACGGGTCGCCAGATACACGGAGGGTGTATTTCGTTGGCTGTCCATTTTGGCGAGGTGAGGTCAAGTGAATGACCATACTGGGATCCTGTATGCGTGTTTCGGAGACACAGCATACATCAATGACACGAGATTCTAGGGTTTTAGCTAAGGAGGCCTGTTGACCGATTTGACTTAAAGTACGTACGTTGAAGGCTCCAATGTATAGCTTGGTTGATTCATCACGATAGGCAAGCCCGACCACCACGTCAAGGTAGCAGCAACGGTCGGGCATAAATTCCTTGTATTATCAATGAAAGTATTTGTCACTTAGATACAAAGAAATGTTTTAGTCAAGTTATTTTTGTGTTTGTTTGGTTTCATGAACCAAATAAAATGGATGCTTTTGTTTACCAAGTTGAACATGGTGGTGAGTAAATATCTCGTTAATATTATAAGCTGCTTATTATCCGTGTATAGCGTTGGAATTATTTGATATTCTTGCAGTGAAAATGTCTTAATTTCTTTGAGAGTAGCAGTTTCGAATCGCCTTCTACCTCATTTTCTTCTGGAATGTTGGACATTATTATCAACCTTTAGACAAAAAGTGCGATCTGAATCTCCTGGTATTTGGATCTGTAGTTGGTTGTGTAGTCATTTTGACAACTAATTTGAGGTGATTTTTGATATACAAGTTATATGAATAAATATTTGCTTCTCGAAAGCAGCCGTTGAAGTAATTGGATGATTAGTCTTGAACATACCTTCACTTTTTATCATTTCGTTTTGTAAATCTGAACTAGGATTCTTTTGCTTTTATGATCTATTTGTCACGTATTTTCAGTTTCTTCGCTCTAGTTCTCTATTGCGCATTGTTCGTTTTGCTTATTTTATGATAATGCTGAGTGTAGCAATGTGAATTAATGCAATCCATTCATAGACTTCATGTTATTTCACTTGTTTGGTGTTGAGGATTTTACTATCTGTTATTTATATTCTAACTTTTGTGTCAGTATTGTTTTACTAATGTTGGTTTATCATTTCCTTTATTTCAGTGCTTGCTAAATATTTGAAAATCCAGTCACTTATAGGCTTACATGCCTAACAGAATTATCATTTCGTCACGATGTCTACAAGTAGTGATATTGTTCCAGTGGGCACAATAATCAAAGAAAGATGGAGATTTTGCACTAAAATTGGTGGCGGTGGTTTTGGTGAAATCTATGAAGCTGTTGATATGATCAACCAACAAAAAGTTGCTGTAAAAGTTGAATCAGCACAACAACCGAAACAAGTATTAAAGATGGAAGTTGCTGTGCTTAAACGATTACAAGGACGTGCGCACACATGTCGTTTTATTGGTTGTGGTAGAAATGATCAGTTTAATTTTATAGTAATGAGTCTCCAAGGTAAAAATCTAGCAGATCTAAGACGATCAACTCGTCGTGGATGTTTTACTATAAGTACAACTGTACGACTAGCTCGTCAAATGCTTGTTGCTATTGAAAATGTCCACAATGTTGGATTTCTTCATAGAGATATAAAACCATCAAATTTTGCATTAGGAACTGGAATTGGACCTGGTGCTGTAAATCCTAGACAAATTGTGCTTCTTGACTTTGGGTTGGCTCGTCAGTTTACAACTGCAAATGGAGATATTCGAGCTCCTAGACAGGTAGCTGGTTTTCGGGGTACTGTCAGGTACGCTTCTGTTAATGCTCATTTAAATAAGGAACTCGGACGTCATGATGATCTCTGGTCTTTATATTATATGCTTGGTGAATTCATAGTCGGTGAATTACCTTGGCGGAAAATCAAAGATAAGGAGCAGGTCGGCTTGATGAAACAAACGTTTGATCACAATCAGTTATTAAAGTTTATGCCACGTGAATTCAGACCATTTCTAGAACATATTCAAAATTTGACCTATTTTGATCGTCCAGACTACATGTATTTGCATTCCTTGCTTAATGCTTATATGGAACGTCGTAGGATAAATGAATCTGATCCATTTGATTGGGAGATAACAACTGAGTCTACGTCTGTTAGTGGTGCTAATGAAACTAATCAGCACCATACAACACAAACACCTATAGTAACCCAACAAGCTGCTCAGGTCACTGTAGCTGGAGCACAGGGAGCACTAGATGTCTCCAAGCTCCGAAAGGGTATTCCTTCTGGAGTGGATCAAAATCGCCCAAATATCGGCGCAGGAGGAACAGCAGGGACAAGTGGATATATAAGTGGAACTAGATTGGCCGGAAGTAGTTCAAATTTAGCTTTTGCAGGTCCAGTTGCAACTACTTCAATGGCTAATGTAGGGAAATCTTTTGATGCTATCCCATGTCATGGTGGATCAAATGGTAGTGCTTTAAATTCAAGATCGGGTGTAGTTTCACATCATCGTAATACTGTCGACGAAATTTTGAGCAATCACAATTCTCAACAGCAACAAGGTAACAATACACCGCGTAAATCATTTTCAAATGCAGGTGTACGGTCGCATCGACCTGCCACTACTCCACGTCTTGTTAAAGAAGCTGGAGCAGCAAGAGCTCGTGAAGCTGCCTCCAAAGATGTTACCAAAATAGATCATTTTTACTCTCCACATTCTCAAGCTAATCGTGTTTCTCCTTCAGCTAAAGTTGGTAATAACGACTCAGTTTGTCAACCAACGGATAATTCTATACCGATTAGTTGTGGACACCGTAATAATGATCCAAACAGACTTCAACCTGGTATAGGAACAACGAATAGCAATTCATCAAATCGTCGACCTATAAGTGCAGGTGCAGCTCATCTTAGAAGTAGTGGAGGAACTATAGGAAGTACAGCAAGTGTTGTTGGGGCTGGTTCAGGGACGCGATGCGACACAAGTTGCACACATGCTGTCATTGTAATGGTAGATCAAGGAGAAAATAGTAACTATCATGATATGACAAAAGCTGTTCCACTTACACTTGCTAGTCATTGGATTGCTGGTGGAGAAGATGAAGAAGGTTCAGTCCTCTCTGAAAATGAAGATGCTGTCGTAAAAGTCAAAGGTCCCGTTTCTTCTGTTGCAAGTGCTTCTGGTGGGGTTGGGGACGAATACGATGCATCGAATCATTTTAACAAACTTAATGAGACAAATAATCAATTACCTGAATGTGGGAGCGGAGAAGGTAATGAAGTGTTTCCCAGAATGCCGTCAGAAAATGGAAATAACGACAATAATTACTTTTGTAATTGTGACCCTAGTATGTTAAATTCTCAGAGAGTCTTTCAACCTTCTGGAGATGTTAACAAGGATGTTGTATCTGGTTCTTATCAAGAGCCAGAATCAGATGAAAATAGTGGAGAGAGATCTTCAGTGAATGTACCTTATATTACACCTGGCAGACTATCCATTTCTTCTCAACACACATATGGAGAGGTTGAAAATGGTTCCTACAGACATAATAATATTAATTCTTTTGGAAATCGAGGTGTTGCACGTAAGCTATCCCAAGGATTTCGTCGACAAAGAGCACTACCTCAATATCTTACTTCAGAATCAAAATTACTTCCAAGTTATGGTATACCTACAGCCAAAGAAAGTTGTTTAGTTAATTCACCAACTCGTTTGAAATCTTTTAAAAGTGATAATGATAATAATTGGATTACTCGAAGCGGTAGTGATTTAATGCCTCAGTTTCCAATTCCATTCTCACGTTCCACAAGTCCATACCATCCTCATGGCTTAGAAATTGTTGATGAAAATGCTAGTATACCAGTTTCTAAGCATTCACCATATATTACACAGGAAATGGTTGATCGCAGAGGTCGAATCCAATATAAAGATTTACATGATCGTGATTATCGTGAATCAGGAAATCTAATTAATGAATTTCATTTTGATCCAAATGTTAATTTAAATAATAATCATAATGATATTCATAATAATAACAATATTAACACTAATAATAATCATAATTATTCAAGTACATGGAAATTTAATCAAAACAGTAATTGTTTTCCTAATTCACAACAGTTAAATTCTTCTAATTCCATGTATCATCATTTACAACCTGTTGAGAATCAATCAAATCATATGAGTCGTTCAATGATATTATCACAAACTAGTAGCGCTGATCCATCATCCGCATATAATCTCCTTATGCATCCATTAAGAATAAATAATGAAAATAATGAAATTATTTTGAAACCACCAAATTCAGCATATTTAGCTGATAGTCCTATTGTTTATAAATCACCATTTCAATATTCTTCAGCATCTACATCTGTTACAAAACCATTAACTACTACCATAGTATCACGTGATTATTTTCGTTCTCGTCCTGATATCTCTTCAGCATCACGTCAATATTATGTTTCACAGTCAAATAATCATTTTAATACAACTACACGACGTCCAACATTATCGATCGCACAAAATAATTCATATCTAAAAGCACCATTTTCTAAATCTGAACATAATCTTTTACATGCTGTGGATAGCTTACCAGAATTGGAAAACAGACGATTTCAGCCTACAGTTGAAGATGATAGTTACTTGGTAAGTGTTATATATAATATTCAATCTTGAGAGAGTTTAGAGAATGAAGATAACACTTGTTGTCAGACTTAAGTAGTGTTGAAGGAGCATGGCCGACTGATAATTCCAGGCTTTTCGCACCGTAATAGAGTAAAAAGGTGGACAAGATTAGAAATAATGGTTCAGTTAGCTGTAGAACTTAAAGCGAAACTGGTTGAGGCTCATAACCCTATTGGTCAATAGATAATTGTATTACCTGTAAGATAAATTTTGTCGAGTCTTGTAATCATTGATTTGTTTTAGTTTCTCATATTGTTATCAATAATTTATCAGTAAATAAAGATATTAAATATGTATAGCTTGATACTCATATGGGGTAGTTAACTATGTATCAAATTGGAATCGAAACGACTGACTTTCCTGTATTTATCATTTAGAACAGACTAGAGTTATTTTAAGAGTCCTTTCAGAGTTGATTACTGAATAGAACTGGTACTGTTTAATAGTTATTTCGTAGACTAGTGGAGATATTGAAATCTATCAATTATTCGTAAATCCAGCACGGATTCGTGTTAGTCCAAGTTGCCATATGGAATGGAAAAGTAAAAATTGAAATTAAAAGAGGAGTGAAATCGATTTTGGCTACAGTGTAAATATGAAAGTACACGTGTAGTCCAGATCAAAGAATAAGTAAGATCTCAGGATAAAAAGTTAAGAATTGCATAACTCGACATCTAGAGGGAGTTAAAGAATTATACAACCGCTCACTGGTATTGATTTTATACAGCATCACTGAACGTCTCTAACAGTTGGCTAAAAATTGTGGTTAGTTTAGGGACAAAGTATCAAAAAGGTAAATCAATCAATGGAGCTATAAGCTTATCAACTGAGCTGCTCTAAGGACGTTTTATGCATATATATCCATCACATACCCCAAAGACTGGCTAGGGTAGGAGTTGGTTGGAAAATAGCTAGAGCCAAGTAGGTTATGCAAAACTATATCAATCCTTAAAGTCACTGATCTCTGACATTTCATCGTCCTCATAGATGTAGATTCTCTGGTTGGAAACGTTATAGTAACTAATCTGTGGTTGCAGACTTCAAGTGACATGGGTCAAAATTGATGATATTGGAACAATGTGCTCATTCTATCTCTTCCAAATCTTTAGTTTATCGTTATCCCATACTCTTCTTTCTTTTGTGACTAAATGTTATTTAGGAATAGAGAGCTCTATTCTTAATCTACTCAGCTAATATAGTCTTTATATAGTGACGTAATGTTAAAGACTTTTTTGTAGAATATACACATAGATTGATCAAATGAGCCCATAATGTTACTACAGTTGACTATTTTGTCAACAGATAAAACCAAAAATCTAAACAGTTGTAAATACTTATACATCACATGACTAACTCTCATTCTAACAACTTCAAATAGCAGTGTTGGGTTCAACCTCAAGGCTATGGAATATAACTACAGTTATGTGTTAGCAGTACGCCTATATTCTCAAACATGACGAAGGTTGAACATTCACGCCCAGGCATGAAATCAGTCTTGTTTTCCCAGGTTTGGTACTCACACTCTGTAGTTAAGCGTTGCATAGTTATGGGCCCTAATGTTTTAGACAAAATATTGGTCAGACTGATTCCTTTGTGGTTGCCACTAGTGAACTGTTGTCTTGTTCTATAAGCTGATACAGTTAGTCTGATTTCTAGCTCCCGTGCGGAGGCTGAAATCTCAGTTCATTTAATTTCTGAAAGTGAATCAAGATCTTTTAAAACAACTGAGGACAATCCATAAAGACCAGCTACTCCCTAGCTTCAAGAAACAGTTATTTTATGTAGTTGTCTTATTCATATAAAATCTGGTACGATTAACTGGGCACTGAAGATAAAAAGCATAACACTAAAAAATATCTGTATGTGCCAGGGTACTGTTCTGTCATCCAAACCGAAGCAGATATTTTTCTATGACCTAAAGCTATAATCCACAGTTGAGGAATGCAATGTTAAGTACTGCATTCTCAAGGTAGCTAGCTATCGAAAATACTTCCACACCATTCGTTTCCTCTCAATCCTGGAGCCCATATACACCATTGATTTGGCATCAGGGTTTCCCAACTTCGAACGTTTGCTTTTCATTTCATCTTTCCAAAAAAATTCACACGCTGCTTGAGAGGATTGAGGAGGACTCTCTTGGCATAAACTGTAAACGCATGACTATGAGAGCACTTTGAAAGGGAAAGAAAACCGTCCATACACTTGGCCATACTAGTTCATGCACGGGCTAACAAGTGAGACGTTTTTTTGAGAAGTGCGAAATAATAAGACTACTAGATTAATTTTTCTTAGTTGAAAGCGTAAGTCAATTGAAGCTAGACCACCATGAAAAACTTAGAAGCACTGGATGGCCGTTTCGTCCTATTGTGAGACTCTTCAGCAGTGCGCATCCACAACCTCGCCTCTCGAGATTCGAACCCAGGACCTAATTTATGATAAGCGTTATCGGTTTATCGTACTCACTTTACAAAAACTAAGTATATGAAATTCGCTCGTTAGATGTATAATTATTTCTTAGTACATCTCAGTTCTCCTTTAAAAACTTTCCTCATTATTTTGAACCTTTAATTATTTAGTGACTTGAAATTCGCGACAATAGTACCTAGGTATTTGAGCATTTGGCTGAACTTGATGAGTCTTGTACATGAACGCTAGAGTGTTGAGTTCTTAGTCCCACTTACTCTTGAATGCTTGAAAAGAAAACAGATGAAAAGTATAAGGAGTTTTGTTTCCATGGTTCTTTTTGCAAAAGAGATGAGATTATTTATATAATTATATTACTTTGTGGTTCTAGAACCTTTTGTGAACATGCTTAAACTAGTAACAATTTCAGTATTTGCTCAGTCAAAGTAAGGAGGACAACCGTTTGCTAGATTTCTCTTGGAAATTTCTAAAATATGCTAATAGGTTGAAGTGTTTTCGGTGTTTTCATGGTTCTCTGAAACTGGCGAGAAATCACTAAAAGATTCCAAATGAGTTTGATCTGTCTATACATTTAACTTCCAGTCTATTAGGTCAGGAGTTTGAACATATCTTCATGTATACACTTAGTGTCAATGGCATTGAGATGCTTAAGCAGATTAGTCGGGAATGTTTTACTAAAAATGAAGCCGTTTTTAGTATCAGTTTATACACTGATGATATTTGTCACAAATATTATTCAACCAAGTCCACTATGTTCGTTTAGATGAAGAAGCTTGTCAATTACAGATCTGTATTATTATTTTGAGCGAAATCTTTCGTGTGAGCTTTACGTCCTATTGATGGTAGATAGTGTTTCACATATATGCTTAATTGGATTTCATTGAATGGTGTTTGCGAGGTCACTTGTCTATGTAGAGTTCAACTGCTGTTCACTCATTGACCAACTAGGTAATCACAGCTGGCGCGACAGTCAGCCATAATTGACATATAGCCTGACATACATATACATTGGCCCAAGTTAGCGTATCGTACCACGTGCATTGAGTATTTTGGTGTGGTTGCATTTATTTTCTATCTCACTCAAAATCTTGAGTTTTAGGATTCATGAATACATCACTTGTACATTTTCCTTCAGTTGTCCTTTACATACTTCATGGTTCTTCCAATTCTATGTTTATCCCAATTGTTCTATGTTTCGCTTCCTCTCCTCTTTATTTCAGTGTTCTGCTAGCAAGCATTCCACTCGCAATCGCTGTTACATACTACTTAAGTGTGTCAGTACAAATAGCATACACCACACCATAGGTCTAGATATTTGTTTGATTTATTCAAGATACAACTGGTCACTAAAGCAAATATGAATCACACAAATAAGATGAAACCGTGAAGAGGTAGATGATGGAATGGAGTATATCTTCAAAAATAATTAAATCAGTAGAAATCAGCCGAATAGAACAGCTCATGATGAGAAAGTTCATTTTAAAAGATATATAACCAGGAAATATCCTTTCAGTTGCATGAGTTTCTTTCACTTCCATGAAGAATGTCAAAAAAGTGCACCAAGGTTCTATTGACTTCTATTTTGAGCCATACTTAATAATGTTTCAAGCTACCGTGTTGCACAATCTCTAGAACCTCAACCAGGGAGTCATAATAAACCAACAGATGACACCCCCATATAAATTTCTTTCATACCAGTACTCCACTTCACAAGAAAACCAATTCGCTCTTTCCATCTCATTTTAGCACCTACAAATAGTGTTCAATACCAAAGATGCCGGATTGACATTCTTAACGCATGTGCGAACCACCAAAACCGTGTTTCAATATTGTGGTATAAAATGATTAAAATCTAGAAGTATTCAAGATAAAAATAGGCAATCATGAAATAATTTGTAAATGCAGTAAATAACTAGATGTAATCCTTCCAACAATATCTGTGATCATGAAACAATGAAATATATCTCAATTAATAATATCGATTTACTATTCGTATTTGTGAATAGAATAGGAACCTGAACTTCTGCTTTTAGGACGTTTATGTCCTACACTAAACTTGTCATTTATAAGTTTTCAAAGATTAACCTTGAACTGTTAGATCATGAGATTGGAACTTAACTTATCTCTAACTGCTTGACTTATCCTAACCGAGAGTATCATAAAATATAATTTATAATTTGGTACAAAACTTATATTCAGATCTATCAATCATTAAACCTAAGCGATGCTTTCACGCATGTATTTATTATTATTATTATTATTTATTTAAACACATAAATATTGGTACAAAAGAGCACCAGATATATATGCGCCACACAAGTCTCATTTGATTTGTGTGAGGGCTGTGATACTGCCCAGGTGCCCAAACTGAAACAGGTGGTTTTCTTAATGGGGGCCACACCCGGAGCCTTTGACATAAAGGTCTGATCCACAAGGCAGTGGAGCATCGTAAGGAGATGGAGTCCCATTGTAACTGGTGACCAACAATTGGTTCATACGCCATTTGTTCCTTCAGGATACTGGAGCCCATGTGCACG